CGACCCCTTGCGAACCCTACCCCCACGCGTCCAGTCGACGCTGGGGTATCAGACACCCCCGCTGGGGGTCCCTTGGCGGCAGACAGCCTGCAGATCATCCCCCAGAGACCTGACCTGCCAGGGTAGGGTTCACATGCTGGTGCCTACGTTCGCTCCTCATTCGGCGTTCCTTCTGGTAGTGGCCTGACTGTAACGCCAGGGCCCGCTCGACGCGGAAGTCGTCCACGTCTGAGTGCTCCTCCTCCCCCCGTCCTCCCTGCGGCCGCCCTAGTCCTTCCGCCCTCTCTCGCATGCCGGCTAAGGAGCCAGTCGGCTGCCCCGAATCACCAGTCGCTGGAGCGGACCGCCTCTGCCTCGCCGCCGACGGGAAAAAAAAAGGACGTCAGGGCACCCGCGGGTGCGCAGTGATCAGTCCCGCTTCTCGCCACCGCGGCCGAGACCCCCGCGAATCCAGGGAGGAAAAACCGCCCGCATTGGGCAAGTGGCGTTTCCGAGAAGGCCCTGGGCGTTTATTACACAGCCCTGCCCTGCTCGATTCCTTTGGGTGCGTTTACTAGACAGCTTCGCGTGTCGGAGTGGTTGTTATCGGGGTGGATTTCCCACACATCCGACGTCTCGATTTTTTCGAGGCACGGGCCCCCGACCTCCCGACCACTTCCCCGGGACGGGTTTCTCGTCCCCAGTCGTTTTTTGATGATCCCGAGGCCTGGCGAGGGCCCCGAGAGGCCACTAGCCACGGACAACATTTCGACCGCCGTCTCGATTTTTTTGAGACGCCCGATGTCTGGTCCTCTGCCCTCTCAGCGAAGCTCGCCGCCGGCGCCCCGTGCCGCGTCCGCCGGAGAGGCGCCGCGGCCGGCGCCCTGCCGCGGCGCGGACGGCGCGGCCTGCACGCCGTTCGCGGAGGCGGACGCGGCGGGGCTGCCCGCGGACTGGCGGGGGGGGGGGGGAGCACGCCGCGGGCGGGCGGGCGAGCAGCGGGGAGGAGGACCAGCGCAGTTTGCCTCCGGGTGTTCGCCTGCTCTCCGGAGGGGAGCAGCACACAGACACAATCCATCGTCGGTCCCCCGGAGAGTATGGGAAAATATGGGAAGTGGGGGGGAAGACAGAAACCTTGAAACTATGTGGCAATGTTGGGAAATGTTGGATTTGTGTGTATGTATGTGTGTGTTTGTGGGCCCCATCATTCCCGCATTACAGGTGAGGCCGTTACCATCCTGTCTGTTCTTTTCAGGCGCCCCACTTCCCCACTCGAAATAAGAAGTGATGCTTATGCTCATTACTACGTTGTTATTCTCACCGTTTCTCTACGTCGCACTTCTTCCATCATGAGCCCCCGACTCCCTTTGTGTTAAGACGAGGGATGCTCGGCAGGACAGACGGTTGCAGGACTACCTTCATCCACCGTTAGCAGCAGCACCAGCGTTATTCTAAGACGCGTCGGGGATGCTGCGAGAAACCCTCCCTCCAATCTCCCTCTCGACAGGTCCCTGCAAGAGATCGCTCTCATGGCGGGAAGTGCCACATGGGAAGACCACCGTGCGAGAGTCCTCGGTCGTGCCAACATGCCACTCATGGGACCTCAACGCCGCGACTCAACGTGACTGCTGCGTCCTGACAGTCCTGACTCATGACAGAGCACTATGTCTGAGACTTCAACACCGCGAATCCACGTGACTGTTTCGTTCTGTCAATCCGAAATCGTACCAGAACGCCCTTCCTGGGACTTCAGCCATACGAATCCTTGAGAACGTCGCACACGTTTATAACGAATGTGCGCGGCGCTGTGGCCAGAGCCACAGTTTGAAAAGTAACCGCCCTCCATCTTTGAAGCAGTTGTGAACTTTAGAAAACGAGTGTGCGCGGCGCTAAGACAAGAGCTACATTTCGAAGACGACCCGCCCTCCATCCTTAAAGCTGCTGCAAATGTTGGAAACGAATGCGCTCGGCGCTATGCCGAGAGCGACAGTTTGAAAACCACCCGCCCTCCACTTTTGAAATACTTGCAAATTCCAAGTTTCAGGATCGGGATTGGTGAGGAAGTCTCAGGCGAAACGCCTGGCCTGCCCTACCACCACGTCTGGGGATGAGCTACATGATCAGGAAAAGGGATGCAAGAGGAGAAGAGGGACAAGGAGGAGAAGGAGGAGGAGGAGGAGGAAAGAGCAGGGGAAGGCAGGAAGGCGGACCAAAGGGGAGTTGGGAGGAAAAAAAAAAAAGAGTGAGGAGAAGGGAGGAGGAAGGATCCCGACTCCGATCCACGCGCCCACGATGGAAGAGGCATCGGGCTTAGGAAAGGTGGGGGCGAAGGAGGCGAAGGCGCAGGCGGTGGGCGACGAAGACGAGGGGGAACACCATGACGAGGAGGAGGAGGAGGAGGAGGAGGAGGACGGGGGAAGCGCAGGAGGAGGATGAGGAGGAGGGGGGCCAGGATAGGGAGCAGGAGCTCGCGAAGGGACAGCTGCGCGGGGCGCGCACAGGGTGGCGGACCAGCGCATGCGCCACCGCCTCAGCACATGCTGACCGCACTGCTGCCGGTCGCGAGCGCGGTCGTCGCCTACCGCGCGCGCACCGCTCGCGCGATGGGCCCGCCCCTGCCGGGTCGGCCCGCGGAGACTGCCCGTGTGAGATCGTGTCTGCCTAGCCAGCGACAAGTACACAATGAAGATTGGTCTCTTCTCCCCCCGACTCTGTCCCAAGAGTGTCCCGTCCTCTCCGCGTAGTGTTTTTTCACAGAGGATTTCATTCTTTGGTTCAGTCCGGTCGTTTCTGGTTCTTCCAAAACGGTGCTCCCGCTGCAGAGCCGCCCTGATTTTTCCGCGTTTCGGTCATTCAGAATCGTGCTCCCGCTGCAGCGCTGGCCTCGTTCCCGCGCCTCCGGACGGCACTTGGCATTCGAAAGCGCCCACATCGGGCAGGCACGGTTGCGGACGACATGGAGCCGGCATTCTGGACAGGCCCCGTCCTCGTCGTAGACGGGCCACTTACCATCCGAGCCATCCGCTGCAATGCCACGGCATGCAATGCGATGTTGTGTTGTGCTCCGCTGTGCGATGCCGTGCGTTGCGTTGCCATGCAACGCTTCACTACGCAATGCCACGGCATGCTATGACATGCTATGTTCTGCCGTGTTGTTCTACGCCAAGCTTTCCCATCCATCGCGTACCCTCTTGGGATCATTGCCCTGCTCGACACTCGACTGTGCGAGTAGATAGGAGATCTACGCCATGGCAAGGGACCGGAGGGGTAGGACGTCAGATGTGACGCCAGCGCACCCAGCTTGCCCTCCTCCCCCTCTTCCTACTCCTCCTCCTCCTCCCTCCCTCTTCCTTCTGAGTCACTCCTCCCTGTCGTCCCGTCCCCCGTAGCCGGTCGCAAGGGCGGGCCGGGCTGGGCGTTTTAAAACGACGCGAAGATCGGGACAAAATCGGACAAACTCGGATGGGGATAAGTCGAAATCTCTGAGAATCGGCGGGTTTGGAGGATGTATTGGGCGCCGCGGCCGCTCCAGAGCGTTCCGGAACGCTCTGAGAGCGCTCCAGAACGCTCTGGAGCGATTTATCCCGATCCTAGCCCTGTTTTACGTTTGGTGTGAGACTTCCTCGAGTTCGATGACCTCGGAGCGTGAGAGGTGCAGCAGCTCCACGGGTGGAGGGCGGCCCGCTTTCAAAGTGTGGTGCTCGCCGTGGCGCCACGTATACGTCCTCCTCCTCCTCCTCCTCCTCCTCCTCCTCCTCCTCCTCCTCCTCCTGGTTTGAACAATTGCAAGAGCTTCATGGATGCAGGGCGGTCCGTTTTCGAACGTTGGCTCCTGCCTGAGCGACGAGCACCTTCGTCCTGAAATGTTGCAGAAGTTTTGCGGATGGAGGGCGGTTCCTCTTCAACGTGTGATTCTCGCCTGGGCGCCGCGCACACTCGTTTTGAAAGGTCGCCAGGATTTGACGGAGTGAAGGCGGTTCCTTTTCAAAATGTGATTCTCGCATGAGCGCCGCGCACATTCGTCCTAGGAGTTCGCAGCAGTTTCAAAGATTATCATGACTAGTGTCCGAGATTTTTCGTTTCGGCACGATGTCGGAATGTTAGGCGGCAACAGTCACGTTGATTCGCGGTGTAAAGTCCCAGGAATGGTGTTCTGGCGCGGTTCAGGATCGTCAATCGCAGCAGTGACAGTGATTCGCGGCGCTGAGGTCCCAGAAACGATGGTTGTTGGCGCAATTCGGGATGTTCAAACCGTTGTTTTCCAACTGGGCATTTCTTTCAGTGAAAATGAATCCGTGAAGGAGCCTATGATGAAGGAGCTTGGAGGGAGGGTTGATTGCAAGATCGTTGATGCATCTTGGGTTCACACTTGTCCTCCCTCCCTCCTCCTCTTCCCCCTCCTCCTCCCCTCCCTCCCTCATCCTCCCTCTTCCTATCCCGTCGACGTCGTCGACCACAAAGTTCAACAGTATCATCGATTGTTGGCTCCTCACGGTGCAGATCCCGAGGGCACGCAAGTAATTTTGAGACGATCCGGAAAGCGGCGGCTACCGACGAGTTCCCGCCCATCACGTTGGGAGCGCTGGACACGGCGTTGAGTCGGATGAAGCATCGCGTTAGGTTCGGCGTTGACAGGCTCACGCCGCTGGATGTCCAGCGTCTCCCAACAGCTGGGCGGGAAAAGTTGGTCTCGCTATGCCAGGCGGTCGAGGCATCAAGGACGTGGCCTTGGCGGCTGCTTGTCGTGGAGGGCTGCCTTCTCCCCGAGAAGGCGGCGAGCGACAGAGTGATAGGGCTGATGTCTACGACATGCAGAATATGGTCCATGATTCGGGAGGAAGCCGCGCGACCATGGTCTGTGCAAGCAAGTGCCCCATGGGGTGCCACGAGTGTTGGCAACTCGGCGTTTCGAGAAGCCTCTTGAAGACACTGTATGAGGAGATAATGAACTGATGGGCACATCGTATGCGCAAGCGTTGCTTGACATTCAATCCTTTTTATGATGCAGTCGAATGGGCTTCGATGGTCTGTGCGGCACTTCGGCTCGAGCTCCCAGCTACCAGATTGGGGCTCGAACTCCAGTTGTGCACAGCGCCACGAATGTTGCCCGAATTCGGCTCCACTGCATGTGCGTTCGAGCCAGGCCGCCCCAGCATCCAAGGTCCACGGAACTCAAAGCGGTTTGGCAGGTGTGCGACGCATTTCGTTCTCCAGCGGCGGGCCACTGGGAACCCCCAGCTGCAGCTTCGCATCTGGATTGACGGCTCGAGCGTGGCGGCAGTCGGTTCGGAGCAGCATGAGCAGCGTGTCGTGGTCGAGGGGATCACGGGCACTTTCCATTCCTTCGACGATGGGAACCTGGCCGTGGCCACCGGTATCCCAAGCCCCTGCAGGCAGGAGGAGGAGGAGGAGATGAGCGGGCAAGCCCAAGCAAGGCGAGGGTGACCTCGGCACTTCTCACGCGGCGTGGGCCCCCCTCTGGCAGGCCAGCTCTGCAGGCAGCTTGCCTCGGCATGGACCTCGGGGCCGGCAGGAGAGCAGCTCGCGCGACGAGGAGGCACAACGCATCGCCAATGCAGGTTTGCGCCCGGCGCGCATCAGCCAAGTGGGCGAGGGCGACGAGACAGTACCACGCGGCGCCAATGTTGGAGAAGGTTGCAGGTCAGACCGCGGGCCATCACGGCCATCAAGTCCACGGCATCTTCTGCACTCTGCACTACTTTGCAGAGAGTTCGTCGACGACTCGGGTCTGCGTGCGGTTCGGTCAAGCGGGGCAGGCGTTCAACTGCCACTCACGACATACGAGCGCCCGCCCAAGATCCCGCGGTTCGGCTAGGACGTGAATGTCTGGCTGAATGGCTGCGTCTTTGGACTTCAGCGTCGGAGGCGCACGGCAGCATCGGCCATGCTTGGGACCGGGCGGCGGCGAAGATGCGGGCCCTCGCGCCCGGCGAGCGACCTCGACGCGCGGGAGGACCTCTGGGCGCAGGGGCCGCGCTACTGCCGCAGCACGGCCGGACTCTACATGGCCCTGCGCATGTCAGGAGGGAAAGAAACACACAGACACAATTCATCGTCGACTCCCGGGAAAATATGCAAAAACATGGGAGGTGGGGGGGGAAGACAAAGACCCAAAAAAGATTGGAAGATATGGGGACTATTTTTATGTGTGTGTGTGTATTCATTTGTGTGTCCTTGGGCCCCTTGAGCATGGGCCGCTCGGCACGGGCGCCGGCACAGCGCGCATCGAGCGGCGGAGGCCCCCCGCGGCGCAGGCGACAGGGCGCGGGGACCCGTCGGACGTTTTCTGTCGGACCTCACGGGGGCCGTTCGGCGCCGCCTGCGGCGATGGCCGCCGCCCCATGTCGCGGGCGAGGGGATGTCGGGAGGGAAAAAGCACACATGCACAACGGATCGCCGATTCCCCAGAGAACATGTGGGAAGATGTGGGAAGTGGGGGGGGGAGACAGAGATCCAGAAGCCGTGGGGAAATGTGGAGAATCCTGTTATATGTGTTTATAGGGGAACAAAAAGTGACATAAACATAAAACTCGGAGGTCCGCGCGGATGTCTCGGATCGGCGCTGGGGCCCCCCAGCGGCGCCTTCGGCGCCGCCCCTGGCGCGCTCCGCGCGCCAGGGAGGGGGGTCCAGCGCCGATCCGAGACATCCGCGCGGACCTCCGAATGTTCATGTTTGTGTCACTTTTTGCTCCCCCTAGTTTATTCACTTGCGTGTCCCAGGGCCCCTTCAGAGTGGCCAGCGGAGCAGACGACACGCCCCCGAGAGGGCCACGACGCGCCGGCTTTTTTGCGGGAGGCGCCCCCGGGAGGCGCGCCGGCGGGCCGAGGCTCCCCCTTCCGTCGATCGCGGCAGGGGGCGCGCGGCCCGGGCCAAGATTTAGGTCGGGCCCGTCCCCCTACAGGGGTTCACCACCCACCAAACCACCCCAACCCAACCCGAAGGCCCAGATTTATCCTCGATTTCCGGTGGGGGGGGGTCGGGGAATATTGAAAAAACACATGGAACCCGTACCCCCCCCAACCCGAAATTCGGGTCAAATTCGGGTCTTCGGGTTGGGTTGGGGTGGTCTGGTAGGTAGTCAGGGGTTATGATGCTCCAACCTACTTTGGCCTTGATCACCAGGAAGAATTTCGAGCGCCCCAAAAAAGTACCGAAACTCAAAGGTTTTCACGTGCCGGGCCCAGGGAGACACTCGCCCGACACGGCTTCGACATTGTTTCGACACTCTTTTGACACTTTTCTGGGTGCTCGAAATTAGTTCTGGGATGCGGTCCTTAAGTAGGACGGGAACAACATAATACAAGGGCAATGTTCAAACATTGTCAAAAAATAGTCGAAGGACGATGTTTGTTATCATGGTTGACCTTTTTTTGAATATTGCTTGGCTACCTTCGTTTTTCGTTCAGAATCCCCCATGTAGGGAACAGGCCCGATCAAGAGGTGCGCGCGCGGTGGTTGGTGCATGGTGGACGACCTATCGAGAAACCCATTCCATCGTG